GAGCCTCCCCATTGTGGACTTTCTGCCAGGGAGCCCTCCGTGCCTCATCATTAGGGCTAAAATCTGCCATCACTTAACACACAGAGCTTACAACTGGGATCAGCCCCCTCCCTTGCGTGGGAGCACGGACAATAATAGACACTATAGTCGCAGCGCCAATGGGAGTTTTACCATGTATTTTAATGACTTGTGCTTGATTACATTTGCTAGATTGAACCAACGTTCATTTAGTAATTGGTATGATTCTTAGAGGGTTCACATTCGACATTCCTCGCTCATTAAAGAGCTCCAACAATGACTGTTACAACTCTCATCTCAACGGTGACCCTCTCAGACATATATCCAGTCTTTTTCTTTTGATAAACCACCCAACCCGGCATTCATTAACACTTAACCATCTGCAGCCAGCCCCTCCTAGTACCTTCTCCCTTGCTTTGATGATATAATTAAGAGCCTTTGGTATTATCTCCCTCAAAGCGATAAATCTAGGTGCGTCAGCTCCCAGCACATGCATTGTTTGTTATTTGATTTTCTCTGTATCAGCTGTTCCTCGTGACGGGCTCATTTTTCATATGTTGTAAAGATTAACTGATGGAGTGGGAGATCAGAGACATGAGAAGGGAGTGTGGCTTGTGATATTAGTAACCAGATGCTCATTTGAAATGGTGATGGAGTTTGCTGTTATCTGTTAGATTATTTGGCTCCTTGGCTTTTACCTGAAGATAAACTGGTTTAAGCACTAGTCAGTGAAAATTAGCATCATCTTTAGTAGCTTGTTATGATAGAGTGCTCTTATCAGTCTGGTTTAGTGTGGCTATTCTCTCCTTGAGTCTGGTTTACAGAAATCGCAGCTTTGTTTATGCATGTGCCCAAACTTGCCTGCTTGACCTTTGAAGCTGTGATTATAATATTAATCTATGGGACTATTCTGTTGCAAATCACTTAGGTGGTCTGTATTTCAGAGTATTTTCACTCTGGGACCTCCCTCTTGTCCAGAGGGATGTTCCGTTATTGTCAGCAGGCTAACCAAGAGCGGCATTTCGTTACATCTTGTCTGGCTGGTTCTCGTGGGGTTTTTGTGTGTGATGGAGCTGCAGCTAGGATAGCACAGTGCTACTGGCTGTCCACTTGTCCTGATTTTGTGTAACTTTATAATAAAGTTGCTTAGCTACAGAAAAAACCTGGTACGATACTTGCATGCAGATATAACCTTCAGCCGGCAAATCCTCAGTGTCCCGCGGTGTAGCTAAATAGCGTTATTCCAGTTTGCAGGTGGGGAGATTGGATATGTGAAGGCCGCACAGACACTGTCAACAGAACCAGCATTTATTGAGGAATTCTTATTTTACACTCTTCTGCTGGATGTCAAGCCTTTGCAGACTTCCCCTGCCTTGTGTTCAAAGGGGACTGTGTTAGATCTTGAATAGGGGGAGAAGAACCTAGCATTCTGGCACTGCAGAACTTGTCTTGTTTGTCATCTTCGAGTTAGGAATTGGGTTTTTTCTTCCTATTTTCCCCTTTCTTTCCCATGTTGCATCCATTTCTATTTTTTTTTTGTACGATTCTTGCATTGTTTCATTGTTTTGTTTATTTTCTTTCCTGCTCTATTTCTTTCTATTTGTCTCTCTCACTCATTTCAATAAACTGTTATATTCATTATATAAATACAAGGGAGCCCTTTTTTCTCAGAGAAGATATGAAAATTCTCCCTGTCATAAATACACAAAATGTGGAAACCATCCTCAGGATGCAGAGCAGGAGGGAGTCCACTGACTTCCAACTGCAAGACATCATTAAAATTAGTGGATTCCCTATCGTCTGCGCATAAAGAACATTGCTGTTTGGGCTGACTTCCACAGCAACATCTGGGCCACTGATAACATCAGTACTGGAGCATTGCTAGGTGAGCTCATGTTTTGTTAATGAAGTAATCTGCCGAAAGTGCATATATCATTTTTTTAGTACCACATACTTGACTGCAAAGGGTCCTACTACTATTACAGGAGCTTTCGTTTGCACGTGGAACTTAGAGAATTTTCGTTAGAGTTAAAAATACGCTTCGCTTGAACTGAATGGCATGCTTAAATACATTGGTAGTTCAATGCTTTAGTTGAGAAATTACAGAATGTCAGGAATTGGAAGAGACCTCAAAAGATCACCTAGTCCAACCCCCCTGCCAGAGCAGGATCACCTGCAGTAGGTCACACCGGAACGCGCCCAGATGGGTTTTGAATGTCTCCAGAGAAGGAGATCAAATCCATTGAAAAGTGGCTTACTAGAACACCTGATATTCTCAGTAGCTTTGGTGTTATGAAATATTTAGTGTGCTAGCATTGTTTTACTACATGTATGTAAGTGTGTGTGTGTATATATGTATGCAATATATATGAGTGCCCAAGTTGTGACTGATTCCTCTGCTGCGCTAAGTAATGATAAAAGTGACCATGATCACAAACATCTAACTTTAGCATGTTCTGGAATAAGCAAACAAAAATTGGATGGAATAAACCGGTAAGATTTATTCATTCAAACTTCATTATGAAATCCAGGCATCAAAAGAAGAAAAAAGAAAATAATTTCAGCGTGGATTGAAATTTCTCTTCTTAACAGCCTCTGGACTGTTAGTGCGGTTATGGAACTCTTGAACAGCCCAGTGTAGTCCCTGACTGTTGTGTTTTGTCTCTTTTAATTTGCAAGCTAAATATTCTTGAGGCTTCTCTGTCCCAAGAGTTAGTGGTGAGTGGTCAACAGCCAGAACACTCACAAATGAGGCTACGGGTGTGTGGAAGGAAAAGTAATATTGGCATAAAATATGTAGCTGCTTGGAGACGGGTTCATAAAATTTTCATTAAGAGCAGAGAATGCATAAAGAGAAGTAATAGAAGTAATGGATGAGTCCTTATGATTTTAAACTTTACTCTCAAAATATTGAAACTATTGGAGATTTCTGAGTTTCTGAAATATTAACCTGCCACTGTGAGTGAAGACTTCCCTGTTTGCCATTGTTTGACTGATGATGAGCAGGAGTTTTATTGATCTTTCCCGTTTTACTGGGCTGGATAGAGAAATGTTTTGTACTTGAGCTGTGGCAGTTATTTCTAACCTGTAGTGTGGGAAAGGGGAGCAGACCCCATCGCCTTCTCCTGTTCCCCTCCGGGAAGTGTTGGAAAAAATACAGTAGTGGTGGTGTGTTTGCTAGCAGAACATGCACAGCCTTGCATATTAAGGCAGGCACTTCGCCAGAAGCTTTGAATTATTGTACCCTGACATTACCCACTGTAACTTTTAGCACTCTGGGCCCATTACTTTGGCTTCTTGCCCAGTAATGTGCAATTTCCACTTACATAAGAAGATGTAGCAGGAGTAATGACTCCTTGGAGGAGGTGTTTTCTTTCACAGCAAATCAGCCCAGGGCCAGCAGGTGTAAGTTTGTAGACACGATCCAATAATGGCAGCCTGCGCTGTTCTTCCCCTCGGTGAACACAGCTCTTGTGGATGGCCATGCAAAGCTCCATGATTTTCTCGGTTTTTTCCTTTCCAGGCACCCCAGAATGCACATCAGAACAGGGCTGATGGATGCCCATCTCTACTGTCTGAAGAAATACGTGGTAGACTTCCTTGTAGAAAACAGGTAAGACACCGAGCGATACGCAAGGGTTTGCATTGACAGATGGTTCGTAACAGGGCTTTTAAAGGAAGGTTGGTTTCATTAAATCGGCCGGAGTAAAACAGAAATGTAAAAGAAACTAGGTTTCAAAATGTGTTAACTACACTAAAAGGAGTGCCAAGCATTAAGTCTGCGTTTCTTATTCAGACCTTAAAAAAATAAATATCTAGTAACAGCATGAGTCAAAGCTGCAATTTTTGCCTCTTTTGTGCATCCCTTGTTTTCCTAATGTATCTGTGCTTCTTGGCTTCTCATTTCATCAGGGCTCCCCCATTGTTAGGGCTGTGAATACATTTCTGACCTTTGATTTCCCCCACCACAGTCTGTTTTGGCCTTTGCAATCACCTTTTCTCTCCCCCTTCACATCCACCACCACTGCAGGTGGGCTATCTCTGTAGCATCCTATGTTTTTAGCTTGTGATGTTCCTCTGTCAAAACTCGGAGACCACCCACTGAGAGTAAGAAAAACATCCATTTATGGAAGTGGAGAAGGATCTTAGCTATAATATTTCATGAAACAGACAAAAAAACCACCCCTGTTTATCTTTAAAAAACAAACAAATGAACAACTCCTCTCACAGTAAGTAGTTCAGTTTTGGAATTATATTCTGTTCCTAGACTTTGTAGCGCTCGTATGCCCATGACATATATCAAACGCTCATCGAGTTCTCGAGAGTTTTCTTCCCCTTTTAAGTAAGTTGAAAGATAAAGGGGGTAAGTGTTGTGTTCGTAGTGCTTTTCCTTAGCGCGTAAACTGAAAAAATGTTGGGAGTGGGAGAATTTGTGGTAGTCTTTGACCATATACAAATCTCGTGGTGCAGTTGGATACGTGACTGAAGAAGCTCTTCCAGAATAAGGTTCTGTGAGCAAGTTAAAAAAGTGGAAAATCTGTGTTAACCCCCAGGGCAATTTCTTACCAAGCAAAAGGATAAAGCTTATCCAATGTTGTCATTGGCATGTGGGGACATTGCACAAGTCATTTTATTCCCCATTTGTGTATGGGAATATGTCTGAAAGGTGAGAAAACTTCAGGAGAACCAGATGATTTAAATCTGGGGAAAGCTGTTTATTCAGTGCATTTTAGAAAGTTGGTGACGGTTTGGACTTCTTGTATTTCCTGTGGTAGCACGAAGCAGTATTTACGCCTTTCTTTTGTCATAATACAACATGTAGAATTCATTTCTTGAAATCCTAGCCATCCAGTTTTGCTGGGATTAGTCATTTCTGGAATATTAGACATTTCACACATTCAGTTCTCTTTTTCTTTCTTCCCCTGATGTTTCATGCTGGTTTGAATTTAGATCATTAGGTCTGTGGGACAACGACCGTCTTTGTCAGACATGCCACAGTGTGTGACACAATGAGGCCTCTAAGCGTAAATAGTGGTAACTTCAGATCTCAAGGCTTTATGCTATTTCAGTTGAAACTGGTAAGTTCTTTGTCAGTGGTGAGATTTTTTTTTTACCTTGTATTAACCAAAGCCAGCAGAGTGAAATCTTGCTCTGAACTCCTCCCAGTTGCCCTCAGCTCCCCCTAGAACAAGTCTGCTGGCATTTTGCAAGCATGACCAGTTGGTTTTTTGTTTTCTATGGCGAGGTCGTTCTCTTTTTTCACTATTTTATGAAGCTCTGCTTATTTTCTGTGGCACTTCTATGACAAATAGGTAATTCCAGCACCTAGACAGCCCTTCTAAGACTTGATAACAACATGTGTCTTACTAATGGCAGGTAGCTGCTTCATTCTTTTTATTACACATGTGCTGCTTATTCAGTCAATTGAAAGAGTGAATTGCAAGTAATTTGCTTAACTTTGGCCATGAGGAATAACTTGGGCTTCCAGACTTCTGGCATTGGTGGGTATTTGCAGCTCGTTTTTCTTCTCTGAAGAAGGAGGGGACAGTGCATCCAAAGATCTTTCCATGTTTGGCAGCAATACGCCAGGACTTTTTAAAGACCCTGTGTGTAATATTTTTGCTTCATAATTGTTTGGGTTTATGAATTCTTTTTAATACTTTGTTTTTCAGCCTAGCGAGAGCCTACAGTAGGGTTTTGCCTCTCTGCAATTCTGCCCCAGGACTGGAGAAGCTCAGATGCCTTGTTTAAGTTGTGCGTGTTTAAAACTAACAGCAGGGACTGAAGCGAACAGTGAAGCTCTTGTATGGTGCCAGGAAGTACTGACACAGTGTACTTCCTCAATATTACAATATTTACATTGTGTTAATATTTTAACAGCGGCGTTTGATGGCAGGCAGAACACCTTTTTTCGTTGTTTGTAGCTCAGTGAAGCATTTACAATTTTTTCAAGTTTTATTTTGACGTAGAAGAGCTGAAAAGATGTTGCCCAGCAGTAGAAATCTCCGATCCTACAACTGGTTATAGCTGACCGTTTTGCAGAGGAAAATTATGATTACTTCCAGGTCAAAGAATTACATGAAAACTAATGTGGTTATGTATGTGGGATCTGTTGCTCCAAATGGGATAAAAGCCCAGTGTAGTCACAGCTTAGCTGCAAAGATGTGGCAAGAACAGGCTTTCCCAAGTGAATGTAGTTCGTATATAGGTGCACCTCAAAGGGTAAATTTTATTCCTCCACTTCAGCTGGATTAATATACGTGTTGGATGTAATCACTACCAGCTAATATGAAAATGGGAAAAAAGAATGTGGAATGGTTAAACCTTGGTTTTGTCCGAGTATCTGGATCTTGCTTTAGCATTTGGGACAATTTTATGAGACACCTTAGGGAAAAAAGCTGAATTTATTGTTCAGCTCCAAAATGGAGTTGTGATACCAAGGTTTCATTATCAGCTTGGCAACTGTCTTGCTTTGTGGTACTAGCCAGGACCCTTAATTTTTCTATGAACTTGTTTCCTCTTCTGGATGGGATAATTTGGAGAGTGTTCAGTATGTATTTCGCAGCAGTGAGATTCTACTACAGGGGATGTTAGGAGAGGTCAAAATACTGTTTAGTAGTCCTTAACTCAGTTTGTAGTCCTTTAATACACTTTTATAAACTATTTTAAAAGGACCGAATAGTAGATTCTCCTGCCTGAAGTTTTATTGCACTATAGCAAACCAAACAAATTCCTGAGATTTAAAAAGCAGAGATCGCTAGTGCCTTTGCATAAAAGTCAGAGGAAATGATCTGTTTATTAGAACTCCCTCAAATATGCATGTTCAGCCAAGCATAAAAAAAAAAATATTGTGCCCCTAATGTCGTTTAAACCTAGGGAATTTATTTTTCAGGGAACGAAACTGCTTTCTCTTTCCTCTGCTAGGAGAAAAAAAATGCATTTTGGCAATTAAAACCCCCATCTCCTTCTCTCTCTCATCCACTAGTTCAGCACTGGTCCCAGTGAGATTGAGTCTTCGAGGCTATGGCAGTGCTACCCTGTCCCAGCCTACCGAGGTCAAACGCTTGCAGTTCCACAACGGCTTGCGGAATAGCTGAAGAAATTCTTGCCCCTAGCAGTTTGTTATTCCCTGCAGCTGGAATTTATCCCTTCCCTT